CTCTCTCTCTCTCTCTCTCTCTCTTTTCAAAGAATTAATTCTTAAATTATCAACGTAAGTGAGAATGGCAGGACGGATGGGAAAGAGAGGCGAGTCACTGTGAAACGTAGAACGTAGAACGTAGTGGAGTGTAGAAGGAGGAAGCTTGCACAAGCGCGAGCAAACGCCTCTCGTCCGCTGGAAGGAGTAACATCATCTGGTGTGTGGCGGTTTGAGCAAACGCGTAGATATTCGCGTGTTTTCTGCGAAGGCAGGCTTCTTTCACAGTGTGATATATAGACGATATATCGACGACGATCGTTCTCGGTGCGAGAGAAGACAAGCTTGCTCGTTGACTGGTCGTCGTGGGCTGCTGCTGTGTGGTGGCCCCCTCGCTCAGTCGAACGTCGAGCGCGGTCATCCACGCCACGTTTCTCATCCTACGTCACATCTGTTTGTGTTGGTCGCGTTCGATCGCAAGTGGAGAGCCCCGGCGTGGCCAGACGTGCAACATACATACATACATACATACATACATACATACATACATACATACATACGTACGTACGTACGTACGTACATACGTACATAGATAGGTACACGTACTGCGTCGCAGTACGGCCATGTGCGACAACACGCAATTCGCCAAGTGCGCGAAAGGCCGCGATCGAAAGGCCGACGATCGATTTTTCCCATTTTTCGTCGACCAGCGACCGGCAACGGGCGGCAACTGTCGCGAGCAAAGCGACATGTCAACGCCGGACTTGGTCGGATACTCGCACGACTTCCTCGCGGAATTCATTCACTTGTACCGCAGCTTCCCCTGCCTGTGGCAGGTCAGGTACAAGGGCTACAAGGACAGGCTGCTGCGGAATCGCGCTTACGACGCCCTTGTGCAGAAACTGAGGGAGGTGAACCCGGTCGCGGACAGGGAGACCGTCATACGAAAGATCAACACGCTGAGGACAGCGTTCAGGCGGGAGTACAAGAAGGTGCAAAGCTCGCTAAAGATGGTCCACAATCCGCGGCAACGTTACAGATCCTCGTTGTGGTACTACGATATATTGAAATTCGTCGCCGAGCAGAACGAGGCAGGTCCACTCGACGAAGAGAAGGACGTGAAGAACGCTTTGCTGGCTCGTCCGACGGATCTCTCTCACGAGGAGATGATGGTACGACTCTCTCTCTCTCTCTCTCTCTCTCTCTCTTCCTTTATATTTCTCACTCTGTGCACTCACTCTGTGATTCCCTGATCTCGGAAACGTTCGCGCGACCGAACAAAGAAGCATTTCATTTCGCGATTATTATACGCCATCAATATAAACATACATCTTTTCGATATACCGGTATCAAGCCTGTCTCGTTTCTCTCCCTCTCTCTCTACGTTGTTCTATTTCTCTTCCTCTCTACGAGACTTTATCGATCGGAAAAGCTCGACGAGCGCTACGGCGTCCAGGGAATCGTGTTGCTTTTTCTATGGAAAAAAGCAAGTCGGAGACACAGATTCGCGTATCTGGCGAACAAATTCGCGGTATGGAAGATGGTCGATGATCGGAAATTGGGAAGCCGCGAGTGAGACGCGATATCGCGCGATAAGATGGAACTGAACAACGCGACGCGACGCGGCTCGAATCGAGTCGAACGTTTCCGCTCGTACGCGTTTGTAGTTTGACGCACGTAGCACACACGTACACACACACGAGCGCGCCAGCGTATCGACAGCAAGTTGGCAACAACAACAACAACAACAACAACAACAACGTGTCACTTTTCTAGTCTGTGCAAACGGACGTGGACAAGATCGAGCCACCGTCACCGGCGCCGTCGCCGGCAGCTAGCTCCGCCCCAGCCTTCCAACCGATCATCCTGGAGACCGAGGGCTCGTACGTCAGGATTTCCAACAGCGCGTCCGCCGAGCCTCTCGTCCGAAGGAAGTCGTCCTGTCACCAACAGCAGCAGGAGAGCTTCCCGGATCGTCAGTCGAAGGACTCGGCGTGCGAACTGTCGCCGAGGCAGTTCGCCAGCTGCGTCACCGGCGACGATCATTTCGAGACGTTCGGCCGTTACGTCGCTGGCAAACTGAAGAAGTCGATGCCTCGGCAGAGCATCATCGCCGAGAAGGTGATCGCCGAGGTCCTCTCCAGAGCCAACCTCGGCACCTTGGAAGAGACTACCAGCCTCACGGAGAAAGTACCTTCACGTTGTTTCTTGGTGATGGGCGATCGTTGAACGTACACCACCGATCCCCATCCTCCCGATGGTCTACCCTTACGGTAGTCTATTGTCTCCCGTCGTTCAAACTCTCTGACGTGACAAGTCCGT